AAAAATCTGGTGAAAAGAAGATATGTGATGTCAACATGATAGAGCAAGGAGAATGTAGTAATTCTAGCTCAAAGATTGTTAACGAAAATGATGTTTGGTTGGCTGGTTGAAGTAGTGAAGAAAAGACGTAAGCGAGCCTGTATAATAGGGAGAAATCAAGAAACTGTCAAAGGAGTCCCTAAGTATGTCAGTCTTCATGTTTGTAGATTGGATCCACAAACATCATCTGAGGACTTAACAAGGTCATTAGTGAAACATTTTCCAGAAGTGAAATGCGAGGAACTGAAATCAAGATTCCCAACTTTTTATTCATCCTTCAAAGTCACAATCCATGAGAACAACTTTAAATCCTGAAGTTTGGCCATTTGGTGCATGTATTAGCCGTTTTTTATGGAAACGCCAAGTGAATGCAGCAATGACATAAATTTTAATCCAAATTTTATTTTACTCAACGTAAATACATTGAATAATGACAAAATCAATTCATTATATAGTGATATAATCTGTAACTTCAAAAGTTTGTATTTTTTGTGCTTGGTTGAAATCGGAATTGAATCAGACCATCTGCACTCGTTGCATATTGAGGGTTACCGGGTAGTAAGCTCCTATTGTAGATCAACTTTGAAATGTGGAGGGGTTAGTATATGGGCCCGTAATGATTTACAGATGAATTTCATAGATTTATCCAAATTTTGCATTGAACAGCACTTTGAAATATGCGCTGCATCTTTTAAAACGACCAAATGTAAAACCATTGTTTTAAATTGTTACNACAAATCGGTCATGCATTTAATTACAGAAATATGTCAGTCACTCTTGAACATATTTAGTGGCATCACTTGAAAAATTTTAGAGAGTTCCATTTCCACATATCTCTCCAGTTGATACTGGTGAGATGTATAATTACTACAAAGTATTGTCAAGAGTTAAATGAAATGAAAATAACATGAATATATTTCAGAAAAGTGGTTGAGAAGTTTTGTTTTGTAAACATTAAAAAAAAAAGAAATATATTGCATCAATTCATAGTGGATTAATACACCAGAAATCGTATGTGGTTAACGAAAAAACAGACCGAAAACATGAATTCTCAGGACTTAAAAGTAAAAAATTTGAAAAAGTGTCTGGAAATATTAGTTGTGTGTAATTAATAGGCTGTCAAAAATAGAATCACATTTGGGTGAAACCAAAAAGCATATGGATATTACAAACTGTAACTTCAATCAGATGTCTGACATTGTTAGATTAGAACAGTAACTACATTTATCTTGACAACTTTGAACTCCTTGAAAATAAAATTTAAAAATCCATCTATTTTCCTTTGAAATTCTAATTGAAAAACAAGATTAGTCAATAGAAAGAGGGACATGTTTTTCTTTTTGACCAGATCAAACCTGATGATATAAATATATAGTCATTTATTCAGAAATAATATACTTTGAAAAAGATCATATGAAAACTAGACATAATTTCCTTTCCATTAGAGTTAATGTACAAGAATATAATTTCTGACTTGCCAATATCCACAATGGTGTGGCCTAGCAATAGTTCAGGACTTTCGTTTGAAATTCATAAATGTATCTACTAAAAGTAGAACGAGTCCATCATTATTTATAATTGCCATAACAAAAATTAGAAACTATTTTAAAATCAAACAAGACATCAACTTATATATAAGTAATTCTCACAAAATTCGTGAAAGTCTAGTTTTACATCGACATATTACCTAGCATTCATCAAAATTTCAATCATGAACTTATGGTATCAAACCTATTAAAAACTATTCAGGTCGTCCTAGTTATTGACAAAAATGAATTAAAAAAAAAAAGAGAAAACAAAACAAGAATTGAAAAAATTAGAATTTGCAAACGGTTGTCTACTTACTTTCAAAAATCAAAATTATGCCCATCTCAAAACTCAAAAGCTTCCCTTCTTGACAGGTTTTGAAAGGAAACTACATATTTCCAATCAAGGTATAATTTCCAACGATAAAAAAAACTACACTTCGGATATGTTTCGGTGTGAAAATAGGACAACAAAATAAATCGAGCTCTAGCTCTCTATTTCAACTTTTTCAAACAAATAGCCAGGGATAACCGATATCGTTTATATCCAGTAAGGAGTCTCCTTAAGGTATCGATACCAAAAATTCACTAAAGTAAGTATATAATAGGACAAGATATTTGTGGTAGAAAGAAACCTGATTTAGTTTTAGCCAGAAAAACAGTATGAATAATGATGCAGGTCACTTGTGATAGTTATTGTGTTTTCCACTCTGGGTACAGCTTCATAGGAGAATATTGTCTTGTCGAGAGTGACAGCGTAGCAGGGTAGACCTAGGCGCTCGAACCAAGCATCCAAAGTACTCGCTATGTAATCACTTCGACTAAATGTCCAAATTGGGGGAGTGATTGCGCTCCTGGATGAACTATTTTCCAACCAATGATCCAGGCTTGTGTGATGAATACTATCCTGGGCTATCTTCAACTAGATATTCGACCCTTATATTCAATGGTAAGTAAAACCAAGCTGAACTGAACCGTTACGTAAAGGCAAATTGATGTAAAGTAGGGTAGTCGATAAGCCCACGTAACGTAAAATTACAAGTAGAAAAAGAAAAAAAATGCCCTAAAAAGAATATATTCGTGAAAAGTTTGACCGGGTTCACATAAATTTGAATGTAATACATGCAAAGGCTGATAAAACCTACCTGGATAATGGGTGGCCTTGAGCAGTAATTATTCAATTCAGCAAACTTGTGTAATTCGGGAACAAATCTTCTTGAAATAGTCAGAGGACCTTCCTTTGACTACCTTTTCCGCAAAACTACAAGAGTTTCAAAGAAAAATCCGCAAACAAGCGACACGTCTTTCCAATCTTTCTAGAACACCGAAAAAACCACATTCTGCTCAACTCTCCTTTTTTTCATATTTAACAAAAAAAACCCGCTTGTTTTTAATTAGTGTCGTTCTTTATATTTTAGGTTGGGAACCCTGATATTTATAATGAAGTGACCTGGTAGTTCTAATGAACCTTCTGATGACAAGCAGAAGTGAGGTTATGTTATTTTGTTATGAATTCCCAAAATGATGAAAACGATTAGTAAACGGTCATTATTTTAGCTATCTACTCAAAAGCAGATCAACATACCTGACGATGAACCCTACCCGTACTATCGACCTCGCTGGACTCGTCTTTGGTAAGTATTTAACGAAAAATTGTTATAACATTCGTAGTTAATAGATCTTTCTGTTTTAGGCATGGAAATATCAGCTTATCCCTGTTCTGAATGTACATATTTTATAAAAAGTAGAAGTTGAATGATAATAAAAAAAAACTATATCCTTTTTCTTATTTTTACTGCTATAACCTCTGGAACTAACATAACCCGTAACAAAGGAAAGCAACTACTTTCCGAAACGTCAGCCATTTGTACAGAAAGCTAAGTATATGAATTGTTTTTACGATAATCCATCTCAATATGATATTCACAATTCATAAATTCAAGTTATCAACTAACCAGATTCTTCAGAGGTTTATATTTAACAGTAACTTTTCGGTATTAACTTTTAAGTTTCAATAGTGTAACGAAGAAGTCTAAAATGAGCCTAAAACTATGAATATATTTATATATCACTCATGGTTGTAAAATATTTTTGAAAAATTATTTCTGCTTCTACCACGTGTGTCTGAGATAATCATCTAAATATTTGATTCAAAAGAGCAGCAAAAAATGTTCATTGGCGTAATGAAGAAGCTTAAAATGAGTCATAAATTATTGCAAGTTAAAATTTTCCAAAAAGAGAAGGATTTTGATTTGTTACTGTCAGATAAATGGTAAAGCTAACAGAACCACTGATTTTTTTTGCAATAGGAAACTAAAATGAGCCAACAATTATGACAATACCTAATTCTGTGTTTGTGTTCTGCTAGTTTAACGTTAAACTGGCAGAACCCACAATATCTACATCAAACAAAAAGCAACAAATTCTGGAATAGAGGACAAAATGAGCATAATAATATAGAAATTCAAAGAAGTTGTGCAGGCTTAACAGGGGTCCATAGTTTCACTGAAATTCCCTTAGTTTTCCCTGAACACCGAATAGTCTATCACTGATTTTCCAGTTTTTGCAGTAAATTTCTACCCATCCAATGGTATCTCCACTTTCTTGATAGTAGGAGCAAATAAAATCACAAACCCTCCCTATAATCATTCTTTTGATCTGATTGAAATAAAAATTACAGAAGTTACACATTTCAGAAACACAAATCGGTCATGCATTTAGTTACAGAAATATGTCAGTCACTCTTGAACATATTTAGTGGCATCACTTGAAAAATTTTAGAGAGTTCCATTTCCACATATCTCTCCAGTTGATACTGGTGAGATGTATAATTACTACAAAGTATTGTCAAGAGTTAAATGAAATGAAAATAACATGAATATATTTCAGAAAAGTGGTTGAGAAGTTTTGTTTTGTAAACATTAAAAAAAAAAGAAACATAGTGGATTGATACACCAGAAATCGTATGTGGTTAACGAAAAAACAGACCGAAAACATGAATTCTCAGGACTTAAAAGTAAAAAATTTGAAAAAGTGTCTGGAAATATTAGTTGTGTGTAATTAATAGGCTGTCAAAAATAGAATCACATTTGGGTGAAACCAAAAAGCATATGGATATTACAAACTGTAACTTCAATCAGATGTCTGACATTGTTAGATTAGAACAGTAACTACATTTATCTTGACAACTTTGAACTCCTTGAAAATAAAATTTAAAAATCCATCTATTTTCCTTTGAAATTCTAATTGAAAAACAAGATTAGTCAATAGAAAGAGGGACATGTTTTTCTTTTTGACCAGATCAAACCTGATGATATAAATATATAGTCATTTATTCAGAAATAATATACTTTGAAAAAGATCATATGAAAACTAGACATAATTTCCTTTCCATTAGAGTTAATGTACAAGAATATAATTTCTGACTTGCCAATATCCACAATGGTGTGGCCTAGCAATAGTTCAGGACTTTCGTTTGAAATTCATAAATGTATCTACTAAAAGTAGAATGAGTCCATCATTATTTATAATCGCCATAACGAAAATTAGAAACTATTTTAAAATCAAACAAGACATCAACTTATATATAAGTAATTCTCACAAAATTCGTGAAAGTCTAGTTTTACATCGACATATTACCTAGCATTCATCAAAATTTCAATCATGAACTTATGGTATCAAACCTATTAGAAACTATTTAGGTCGTCCTAGTTATTGACAAAAATGAATTTAAAAAAAAAAAGAGAAAACAAAACAAGAATTGAAAAAATTAGAATTTGCAAACGGTTGTCTACTTACTTTCAAAAATCAAAATTACGCCCATAATGCCCGGATATAGTGTCAGAATAATTATTCAATAATAATTATTTAAATATTCTAAAACCACAGTATTTCTGTATAAATACTGTGCTAAAACAACTAATTCAGACATATGCCCAACTAATGACAACTGACAAAATTGGCAACCGACAACACATGACACAGTGCGGTGTTATCAGAAGGAAAATATTCGAACCTCATTGAACCACAAAACTGTAAAATTTTCATATCTACATTTCGACTGCAAAACAATTCGGAAGATCTAGCTGTGCCTTTCAATATGGGATGCGCAGTAGATCAGCCGGCGTAATGGGGCGAGAGCTCATTAACATCTAGGAACTCGTGTAGTGAACTTCGTGGTAGTACACTAAGTGGAGAAATTATTCTGTGAGGTGTACTGGAAGTTATTTGTTGTCTCTGAAAATGCCTTTGAACAGTACACTGACAATAAGGTTCTTAGTGGACAAAGCGGAAAAATTGTGAAAAACGTTTTAAGACTTTTGCAAGCGGAAAATCAAAATCAGAGTTAAAAAAATAGAAAATGGTGAGAAAAATAAATTTTCAACTCTAAATAAAATGAAATAATATATCAAAAATTTAAAAATTATGATGGATGATGCTGATTTATCAATTTTACATATTATTTTCACTTGCACAAAAGAAGGAACTGGGGTTCACCTGCACAAAAGGAAGAATTGGGGTTCGCATTCCCTATAGGTGGTATATTTGTCTAGTTGTTAAAACGTGCCGTATTTATTTAAGCCTAAATTCTTCTCCCGTTGAACTTCTTGATGAAAGATACTAATGGAGAGTTACTATCTCTCTTTATCACAGCTCAGATGCACATCTACATTTGCCAAGCTGTAATAAAAATAAAGGAAGTAAAATACAGGTTTGGTGTAGTTTGTTTTCGGGTGTCCATATTACTGAACCTACTTCTATCATCAGTCTAGACAAGACTTCATGCAGGTGAATACCTGCATTTCAGTGGATACCTTTCATACTCACTTTCATTTGCAATTTTGATAAGGGTTTTGAATGAATGAATTTTGAAATATTGTATGGAACGTATGTATTTTATCCTTTCATTAATGATAACTATTCAATCAGTTAAAGTGTATGCAAATTCACCATTTTTGAAATACTGCCCAGCAAATAACTAAAGTATTGGAGTAATATTATTATACAGGACAGAAAAATGTTTAAAATCGTAGAAAAGTACGCATTTTGATCGATTGACGGGCATAAGTATAATAAAAGATGATAATGATGATAACAATAATAATAATAATAATATTCGCTAAAAAAATCAGTACTGAAAAACCAATTGCGTCTCCTTCTCATTAAAAATTCCTTTGTATCTTTTGTAATTACTATATATTCCAGTAGATTTCTGTTAATTTTAAGATCGGTTAATATACCGGCGACAAGTTTATATCAAATCAAATAAAAAATGTACTTTATTGTCTAAGAGGAAAAACTCTTGTTGACAGAGCATGGTTCACATGTACACTTCAATAATAGTAAATGCCTCTTAATTTGTCAGTGTTTCATATAAAATGGTTGAAACAACAAAAGATATACATATATCTTTAGTCTAGTTGTAAAATAAGAACAAAACTTGTGAGTAACAATTACTACATCTCACGATAAAATCACAATTGAATATAAAACGCAGGTAATTTCATCTTATAGGAATATACTGAAGCTACGATTAGCTCAAGATACTGTCACTATAATATTCCTGCAGGCTGTAGTATCCTTTAACGGTTTTTCGAAAGATTGTCGGCCGTGGTATATTTTTTATTTCAATCGACAGATGACTGAAAAGTTTTTTTACTCTCAAACATGACAGAATTGTTTGTTGAAGTTGTTATTGGTTGCGGTAGGGGTGTCTACAGCCTGCAGGCTGTAGTATCCTTCAGTTGATGATTTTTTAACGGTTTTTCGAAAGATTGTGGGCCGTGGTATATTTTTTATTTCGATCGACAGATGACTGAAAAGTTTTTTACTCTCAAACATGACAGAATTGTTTGTTGAAGTTGTTCTTGTTTGCGGTAGGGGTGTCGTTCTTTTGACGAGTATTATATCGTCTATCATATTGGATTGTTTCTTATGCATCAAGCATACTGTCTTGAGGATAGATATACTATATAGGGTCAAAATTCTATGTTTTGAAAAAAGCGGTACACAGTGATCTCTGGATTCAGCTTTTTCTTAAGGAAAGAACACAAGCACTACAGGAAAATCCCTAAGAGCGGTGCCTGTGCGAAAGTACCGATTCACGTTGGATTGGAATCGCTGGAGAATAGATTCATTAGCAAAAATGTTTTTCGGAAGTTTATTCCACATACACCAGATCTCCAAAAGCAGTGAAGTTCGGGGTGTACAGAGTTGAACCTCAGAACGATAAGCAGCCATAATCCGTCGCGTATTTCTGATATGTACCACTCTTGGTGAAATCAAGTGTGCCAAGTCACTTGAACACCTCCCGTGAAAGTATCTATAAAAGAAAGACAAATCTCCAACCGATGTTCCAGACTATCAAGATTGCAAGTGATGTTCGAGTCTCCAAACAAGCAAAAGGCTTTTTTCTGTTCATATATATTCAAACATTGTAATTGAATGACCGATTGGATTTAAATAGATCACCATTATTGAACTTGTTTTTTTTGGATGAAGTACGTATTATAATAATGACGTAGAATTGATGTAATATTCTTTAGATAATCATATTTGAAGATGTACCTTACGTATATGAAAGTTATAGGTGTTTTAGGTAATTTGATCAATTGAGTATCTAAGTAGGTATTCTCAATTGTGATTATGTGAAGTATACAAATATCAGAGTAAGAATTAACTCATAGTGTACGTAATGAACTACGAAAAAGCTACACATCTGATAGAAACATGTCGTGATATATTCTTTAATTAAAGTTTGTGAATAACAAATCGTAAAGTGT